ATAAGTCTTAGGTACTGATTTTGTTATCTCCATTAAAGAGTGAAAACTCACTTTTGCCCTCCTTTGGAATTTCAGTTCTGCTCTATTAGTCTTCAGTTGCCTTAAAGGCATATTTTTCTTATCTATTACTCTAAAAATAAGTAATTTTAAAAAAGGCTTGTAACTTGTAACAATACCAGAGAAAGTTTTGAGTGAGTTCTTTTGGCAGCATTATCATCCTGAAGTTTTTGTACTGAATGATACCTGAATTTCAACATCAAATTTTTAGATCTTTAAAACTATTTTAGCTGAGAAAGTGTGTGTGTAAATCAATTTGCTTGGGAAAGACTCTCAAACAGTGCTTTAGAAAGCCCCTTTTATCTTGAACTACTTAAAAATATGATTTTATAATTTGTATTTCTTATTTTTAGATGCCAACACTATTTGTTGAGTCAGTTTTGGAAGTACATGGTAAATTTGTTCAACTTATCAACACTGTTTTGAATGGTGATCAGCACTTTATGAGTGCATTAGATAAGGTAATTTTTTAATACATATGATATTTCTCTGTATATTTCTATTTCATCATCATTCTTCAGGCATTTTCAGACTGGGGTCAAATTATGTGCTTCTTATTTAGATATCAAGATTAACCTTAAATGTGAAAGTCAAAATAGTAATAACTTAAAACTTTTAAATAAGCAACTGTTTAAGTTACATACTTAAATAATATATTGAATTTCCTATGAATATCCTATTGTGTTGAAGGGGAATTGTTGATAAACTAGTATCTTCTGAAATACATCTATAATGTTAATATTCTTAGTACTGATTTTTCCTTGGAATATAATATTTAGGTCACTATATTTGAAAAAAAATAAATATAGCCTACAGACTAACTTTGGTAAGTTTTTAAAGAAAATTGCTTGCGGGCCCTCCCTGGTGGCGTTATGGGTTAAAGCTCAGCACTATAAAGCTATCACAGCCACTGCAGCACTAGTTTGATCCCCGGCCAGGGAGGTGACTCACATGGTGTGGCATACCTCTCCTGACAAGCCCACTGCTCCCCTCAGAAGTGTATTTCAGTGGATCTGCCTGTTTTGCTCCCCACTCTGTAGTGTATCCTCTCACCCACCACACCTCTGGCCTGTACCCCAGTTCTGCAAGCATAAATCAATAAATCTTTAAAAAAAAAAAGAAAATTTGCTTGCATGTTAGTTTTAAGATTTGAAAATGTAGTTTTATTTTCTATGTCAAATATCATTAATGAGTTATTAAAGAGTATCTTTCAGGAGGAGCAAGATTAATTATGTAATTATCAAGAATATGATCAGAGGAGTTTATACAGTGTTAGATATGAAAACAGTATTAACAAGCTACTGCAAAAAATGCTGTGTTTTGTGTGGGGTAGTAATTTTTTGACATAGAGTTTACAGCATATATTGACCCAGATATACTTTTAATACGTGTGGCTAATTACTGTTTTCTGTTTAGGCCCTTACATCAGTTGTAAATTACAGAGAGCCTAAATCTATTTGTAAAGCACCTGAATTGGTAAGTTTGATGGCTGTTTAAAGTAATCTTATCAAAAATAAGTAATAAAAAACATAAACTGAGAATATCAAATTAGTTTGTTTTGTAGCATTTATTAAGAAAACACCAACTACCACATTGCATTTGGCATTTTTCTCTAAGGAATTCAATATGCTATAACCTATAGCTTCTTCTTCAGTAACTGAAGGAGAAAATATTCCCTCTTACCATGGTTGTATTTTAAGAATGTTTGCTTTGAAATAATTTGTATTAATTCTCATAAAGATGTCATCTGAAACTAAAGGAAATTTGATAATTTTTGATAACCTTTTCAAAATTTACCCATGACCTATATTTTAAATTTCTTTCGTGCATAATTTTTAAAACAAGTTTTAGGATGGCAAAGACCCTATTCATTGATCTGATTTTATATTATTGTTACTTTCCCTCCTTTGTGATATGATATGTACATAAGGACCCTTTGTAAGATTTACTGTCAATTTCTTTTTGAGCTTGCTAAGTACTGTGACAACTTACTAAAGAAGTCAGCAAAGGGAATGACTGAGAATGAAGTAGAAGACAAACTGACAAGCTTCATTACTGTTTTCAAATATATTGATGATAAGGATGTTTTTCAGAAGGTGAGTTGTCAGTAGAGAAATTTCATTGCTATTTTTATTTCATTGCTATTTTAGTTAACTTTGATTTTACTTCTGAACTTTTAATCACCAAAAATGAAGTAATCTTTAAAAATATTTTTTAAAATACAGTTCTACGCAAGAATGCTGGCAAAACGTTTAATTCATGGGTTGTCTATGTCTATGGATTCTGAAGAAGCTATGATCAATAAATTAAAGGTAATGTAAGCCTTTGATCTGATAATATAGAAATTATTCCACGAGCACATAATGATTTTCTTTGCTGTATTATATGTAATAACGGGTACAATTGCATTGATGAGTTGTTAGATGTACAGTGATAACTTCATGTGATGGGATATGTAAATACTGTTAATCAGATAAAAACTCCACTTTGGTAGAGATTCATTCACATGATAAGCAGTGTTAACTTTGCAAAAACATTTGTGTTAATTAAAAATGAATATACTTAAAAAGGTTTTTAAGTGCAAATTTTGTAGTACCATTGAATTTTCATTTATTTTTACATTCTTTCAATTTACACACTGATGTAGGTGATTCACATTTATTTGGAGAAAATAATTGAAAATTTTCTTTATTAATTACAATGTGTAGTTTTTTTTTAAATATGCTTTTACAATGTTTTTTTTTTACAATGTTTTTAAAGTAATGTTACCTTAAGATTTTTTTGTGTCTTGAGATTAGCGATCAAATCTCCTGACCTGGTAATAACAGAGCTTTGAATAAATTTTTCACTACTTAGTATGTGATATTAAAATATGCCTAAGTACCCTCTTTTTTTTACTCCTAGATCAAATATTCTCAAATATGTATCTTTCATACATATTTGCTATTATCTGTGAACTATGAGGTATCATACATGCAGTGAAAGAACATTATATAGTATTCGCAGTAAGATACGTGGATTTATTGTTGTTTATACTTTAAAAGGGAACTTGTTTCATAAAATGTTTTTTTTATTCATTTATTTATTCATTTATTTTATCTGCATTTAAAAGAATTTTTGAAACATTTTGAATCGCTGCTTTGAATAATGAGTAATAGTGACCTTTGATGAAAGTAGACAAGCAGAACCTTTGACCGTTAACCTTGTGATGGCAACATGTTCTTATCAGTCAGTATGGTTTACTGTTTTTCTTTCTAATTCATGTATTTTATTTTATTTTACAGCAAGCCTGTGGTTATGAGTTTACCAGCAAACTACATCGGATGTATACAGATATGAGTGTCAGTGCTGATCTTAACAATAAATTCAATAATTTTATCAAAAATCAAGACACAGTTATAGATTTGGGAATTAGTTTTCAGATATATGTTCTTCAGGTATGAATGTGTGTTTTATTGTGGGTACTTGCTAATCATTTCAAAATTAATGATACAGATAGGGTTAATAAATGGATGCCTGGTTTTCATTCACTGGGTTGTGGCTTCTAAAGTTGTGTATGTTTTATTGATTTTGAATGGTAACATGCCATAATAGTAGTAATGCTGATGGATTTTTATCAACAGTTTAAGGAAAGTAAAAACCATGAGGTAGTTGTTTAAATTATTTTATACTTACTGTAAAGTCAAATGTTTAATTTTTTAATTTTGTTCCCTCAGGCTGGTGCATGGCCTCTTACTCAGGCTCCTTCATCAACATTTGCGATTCCCCAGGAGTTAGAAAAAAGTGTACAGATGGTAAGTACATAAGAAATACATTATGAGACCTGAGGAATTTTAATTCTTATCTTCATAGTATATCGCTTTAAATATTCTTCCAAACTCTTAAAGGCTCATAAGAGGTGAGCCTTCACACATTATAGTTAGCTTGCTTTTGGGGAAGTAACTTAATTGTTACTTTTTAGTAAAACTAAAATGTTTAAAATATTATATATACCAAAGTATGTCTCTTATTATTAGAAAATCTACTGTCTGCTCTTAAGTGATTTTAAATATAAACACTTTAATATTATGAGGCAGTTTAGAATTCATTACTTGAAACAACAATTTTCTAACTTTAATTTTGAGCCACTTTTATACTTCATTTGTCCCTTATAATAGGTATTTTTTATTTTGGACTACAATTTAAGTAAATATATGTGGACTGTACAGTTTACTAGAAAAAATTGCCTTGAATTGGAATATTTAAAGCCAAAATTACCTTAGAGTCACTGAATAGAAACCTTAAATTGGTTATCAAACCCCTTTTAAAGAGACAGTAGAGACTGTCTTTCTCTACTAGCTTGATTATGTACCCATTCAATCTGCTATAGCTATACTGTAGAGTGGGTACCTTGTAAAAGCAATTTATTTATTTTGTTTCAATTCTGGAAGCCAGAAATCTGAGATCAGGGTGCCAGCATACACTGTGAAGATCCTCTTTCGGTCACATTCTTCTCATTGTATCTTCATATGGTGGAGGGGAGCTCTGTGGAGTCTGTTTATCACTTCCCTTTCATGAGGGCATAATTTAAGAACTTCCTGAAGGCCCCACCTCCTGATTCCACTACATTTTTTTTTTTTAAGATTTATTTATTTATACAGAACTGGGGTACAGGCCAGAGATGTGGAGGGTGAGAAGATTCACCAAGAACAGAGTGGGGAGCAGAACAGGCAGATCTACGAAGTACCCTGCTGAAGGGAGCAGCGGGCGGGTCAGGAGAGGTCTGCCACACCATGTGGATCTCCTCCAGGGCAGGCGGGGATCGAACTCATGCAGAAGTGGCTTAAGCTTCTTAGTGCTGTGCTTTAACCCACTGCGCCACCAGGGAGGGCCGATTCCACTACATTTAGTGTTAGGATTTCGACCTATGACTGGAAGTAGTTGATGGAAGGGGAATGTAGACAACCTCTGAAACCATAGCACTATATTATTCACTCAAAGTATACCATTTAAGTTATTTTTAGTATATATGCAGAGCTGTTTAGTCATCACCATAGTAAATTTTACTGTTTTAATCAAATTTGTCAGTTGGGGTTACATTATTACTTTTCCATGGATACTACACATACTTCATTTACCCTCTAAAAAACCTCCCATGCCAGTACCTTAACCCCTCCCTTCTCCTGTTTCCTTTTCCTTTACCTCTGATCACTTCTACCATTTTTTATTGTCATTAGTTTTTTGCTGTGCTTTGTTTTTTGTTTGTTTGTTTGTTTGTTTTATATTCCATGGATAAGTAAGACCATCTGATACTTGTCTTACACTTTCTGATTTATTTCGTTTAGTTTGTTCATCTCAAGATCCATCCATTTTTTTTTCTCTAAAATGGCTCTATTTCACCTGTTTTTTTAAAGTCAAGTAGTATTCCATTAAGTATGTGTTTCACAATCTTTAGTCATTTGTCAGTGAGCTCTTAGGTTGGTTTCATGAGTTGCCAATTCTAGTGGTGCTAATGAACATTGCAGTACATCACTCTTATATTAGTTTTCATGATTTTTTGGTAAATACCTAGAAGAGGTATTGCTGAATCATTATGGTTCCCTTAGTTTTTTAAGGTATCACCGCATTGTTTTCCATAGAGGCTGCAGCAAATTGCACTCCTACCAACAGTGGATGAGTGTTCCTTTCTCTCCATATCACTACATATAATTCTAGAACATTTTTCTTACTGAATTGCCCCTAAATAAATACTCTGCACATTAGCAGTCACTCCCTGCTTCCCCCATCCCTTTTTTCCCAGCCTTCAGCAATCTGTTTCTCTAGAGATTTGTGTACACTGGACATCTCATATAGAGTCATATCATATGTGCTCTTTTCCAACTGATTTCATTCTCTTAGCATAATATCAAGGTTCATTAGTATTGTAGCATGTGTAAGTAGTTAATTTCTTCTTATTGCCAAATAATAATTCCATGTATGAATACATACATAATGCGACATTTTTTTATCCATTAATTGGTTTTTGAACTTTTAGGTTTTTCTCCAACTTTTTAGTTTAGGGTAATGCTGTTGTAAACATTTGTATACAAGTTTTTGACTGCACATACTTTTACTTCTTTTGAAACTGACCTCTTTTGACTCTACCTCACTAAATGAGACTTTTTACTTTATAATTGGATGAAGTTGAGTTAGCATTTTTTGTAGAAAAATCTTTATTATCAAATAATTCCTATTTGAGCAGTGACTTGAGTTGGGAAACAGTGAGTTGTGTATACATTTATGAAGTTTAACATGAAAATAGTATTTCATTACGCTATTTCCTGGAAATGTTCACAGTGGGTAATGTGAATAATTTTTTAAAGTATGTTTGGTTTTTTTCTTTGAAAATAAGGATGGTAGTGCCTCCCTAGTGACCCAGGAGTTAAGTCTCATTGCTATCACCACTATGACCTGAGTCCAATCCCCAGCTTGGGAACTAATCCACATGTGGTACAACAGACCTCTCCTGTTTCTCCTGAAGCTCTCCTTAGCAATGTATTTCGGTAAATCTCCCTTCAGCTCTCTAATGTGTCTCTGGTGAATCCTCTCACCACCATCATGCCCACCTCTGGCCTACATCCTATTTCTTCTATGATGACAATAGTAGTAGTAGTAGTGGTAGTGGTAGTGGTGGTAGTAGTGGTGGTAGTAGTAGTAGTAGTAGTAGTAGTAATAGATAAAGAAGTACAGGCTCTAGGATCAGAGTTTCTGTTTTCAGGTGTCTGTTTTGCTGTTTAACTTTGCTCCATAGTTTTGGGCAAATAACATAATTTTCTGTGAATCAGGATTATAGTAATATCTCATAGTGTTAATGTGAACATGAGATAATGTAACATTTTTTCTGATATATTGTAAGTACTCAGTAAATGGTAACTAATAGAGGTAATGAAGTGATAACAGTGGTAATAATAGGTAGACTAGCTTAAATAATCAGGTAGATTTCAAGATGCAAGGCATATGGTACGCTTTCAGAATCAGAGTCTAAAACTTTATTGCACAACTTCTTTAAAGGGTCATGATAGCACAAATTATCTTAGAAACTATATAAAGAATAGGTCTAGAAACCCATTGAGTTAAGAGTCCCTTCCACCGTCATCATCTCTAAATCAGTCTCCCAAACTGTGCAGAAGCTCTTCATTGGAAGCTTAAGCTTTGAAACAAATGATGAGAGTCTGAGAAGCCTTGAGCAATGGGAAACACAGAGTGTGTAGTAATGACAGATCTAAACAGCAAGCAGTCCAGATACTTAGTATTTGTCATTTATTGCATGGTAGAGGTGGTGGATATAGCTGTGAAAACAAGTCACACAAGGTGGATGGAAGAGTGGAATCAAAGGAGCCTGTGTTGAGAATGTTCTCAAAGATCATTGAACTGTGAAAAAGAGTTGTTTCTTATTAGCTTTTTTTTTTTAAAGATTTATTTATTCATGCATACAGAACTGGGATAGAGGCCACAGGTGCTGGGGCGGTGAGAGGATTCACCAGAGACAGAGTGGGAAGCAGAACAGGCAGATCAACAAAGTACACTCTGAGGGGAGCAGTGGGTGGGTCAGGAGAGGTCTGCCACGCTATGTGGATCACCTCCGGGGTGGGGATTGAACTCATGTTGAAGTTGCTTTAGCTTCTTAGTGCTGTGCTTTAACCCACTATGCTACCAGGGAGGGCCCATGGAAAAGAGTTTTTATTATTATTATATTATTATTATTACAGTTTATTTTTACATCATTTTGTGCCTTTTCCCATCTCAGGTGTAACCCCTATGTACTTCCCATCACCAAATCACCTGTGTGCCATCACCATAGTCCTGTGCACTCTCTCCTCCCCACTCCATTATTGATCCCATTCCCCACTCCACCCCTGTAAAATGTCTCTGGTATATAATTGTTCATTATTATAATCCCCTCCCTCCCCCATGGTCCTTTATGCTCCTGCTATGAGTAAAACCATCTGGTATTTTTTTCTTTCTGGTTTACTTCACTCAGCATGGTTTCTTCCAGCTCCATCCATACTGCTGTAAAAGGCATGAGTTTATCTTTTTGATCACTGAGTAATATTCCATTGTGTCTATGTATCACATCTTTTTAATCCAGTCATCTACTTTTGGGCATTTGGGTTGATTCCATGCCTGTCCTATTGTAAATCATCAATAAACATAGGGGTGTAAGATGTCTTTTTGAATCAGTGTTTTTGTGTCTTTTGGGTAGATACCTAGGAGTGGATTGCTGGGTAATATGGAAGCTCCCCTTTTAGAGTTTGAGAAACCTTCACACAATTTTCCATGTGGTTGTACTAGTTTGCATTCCCACCAACAGTGATGGAGCGTTCCTTTTGAGGAAAAGTGTTTTATTGGTGGTTTTAAAGATGATGCTGAAGAATATCATCTAAGAGGTTATTTTTAGCTATATGGGAAATTGAAATGATTGAAAAAAATCAATGTTTGAGGCAGTGGCAAGGAGAAAGACTTTACATTTGTAACCATTGATGATCATGATTCTACAGACAAGACTGTCATTCAGAACTGTCAGTACTGTGAATGGCCACTGTAAAATAAGGAAAGTTCTAGCTAAGCAAGAGATTGCCAGTGTTTCATCCAACCAGAGAATTCACTTGGTTTGGTTTTGAAAACTTTGGTGGTGGTGGCAGAGGTAATTTTGTTGTGAATGACAACTTTGGTTGTGGAAGAAACCAGTTGAGGTGGCTTGGTGACAGTGGGGATGGCTATAGTATATTTGATAATGACAGAAGCGGTTTTGGAGGTGGTGACAACTAAAGATTTT